GATTTCTTTGTATGTATGGATCACTTGGGTTGTTACCGACATCTGGTGAAAATTTCATGTCATTAGCACCTCTAGTAATATATTTACTGAGAAAAATGATGACGTGTTCAATACTTATTTTACCCGCTGTACTTGATCAGACCTGACCTGAGAAATGACTCATGAGTGGCATGTACCATACCCAGGACAGGCAGGTAAAGAAAAAAAGGGTATTTCCACAAATAGCGTTCACCAAACAAGATATCTCATCTGTAATCATAAAGGTTTACATGTTCACATGAGAATGATGAGATGTTCAGACTTTCCAAACAATGTCATCATGTGAGTCCACCCACGTGAACAGTCATTACAGTGTGAATCCAGTCGTGGTAAAATGATACCACATTTAAAACAGAGAGAGACAAACGAATATCCTCAGTGTAGTGTCATGACACCTTTATTTCCTTTAGGTTTCGACAGGTAATAAAACTAACCTGCAGCCCTGTTTTTAAAGACTGAGTGGCAACCAACATGAAACAGAAAAAAACATCAAGATGAATCTTTGGTTAGTGGTGAGATGCTTACATGAGACCATTACTTTTTTTTGTTTGTTWGTTTCACGTCTTTTGCCTTCAGTRACAAATCCTCTGCAGCCTTTCAAAATCAAATCAAATCTCTTTGTGACATGTCATGAGCTGATGGGTGTGAAATAGACAAGTGAGGACATCGCCAAGCAAGAGGACGCCAGAAACAGCCAACATTCAGCTGCATCTTCTGAGGTAAGATCAGCTCCTGGCTGTCTGCTGTGGAGGCATTTTTCTCTGTTTTTTGTAGTTAGATATTTTTATCATGTTTATGTAGTTTTCAAGATTTTTTTTAATGTACTCAAATTTCTGCGTTATATTAGTTTGATTTACTAGAGATTTACCAGTTTACATTTAATAAATGTAATTATTAACCCCTAACCTTTCATTCTAGTTCTGTAGAGMCGTCTTGTTTAGTTTTTCTTTTAGATGTTGACTCATATTCTGTTAACAAATGTTCATTAAAGTCCAATACTTGGTAAATATTWAGACACAAAAAGTTCATTTATTGCTTTATAAACCTGCCTAATTTGAAAGCCTTACATTTAAATATGAAGTCTCCCTGCTCTTATAACTATGAACTGTAAATAGAACAAGCAGCAGCAGCGGTGGGTTTTCGAAGCTGTTTGTCACCACAGCAGGGTTATCCACCGTAAAATCCCTCCAACTTCAGTGCAGGTGCTTCGTTTGTTAAGGAAACCTCAAGCTTTGGCATTTTAACTGAAGATGCACCAACAGGTGTGCGACTTCTGAGTGTGCCAGGCTCCAAAAGTGACATGAAAGGGTCGACTTGTCAGACTCCTGCAGATTTATAGAACAGCATATTATCCCCCCACCTCTCAGATCCCSCAGACACCATGCCGCGCTCGTTCCTCGTCAGGTCCAAAAGGGTCCATCCACTCAGCCCACTGAAGGACTGCTTCAGACAGCAGTCCCAAACAGAGGATGAGAAGACGGGGCAGGAYGGTAGAAACTCTGAAGACGCTGTGCAGCCTTTGTCCCCGACGCTGACGGTCAGAGACCTTCTGCCTGAACCGTGCTCACCGACGGATGGGATGTCCAGTTGTTCTCACAGAGCTCCTGCAGAGAAGATCTGGCCTTCAGGTGTCAAACTTAAATGTTTTCTTCTGTTGGCAAGCAAAGAATTGAACCTTCAATCTGATGATGAAAAAAGTGCTAATTTATTTTGTATTCTTCCTTTCATGCTTTTATTTTCCAACTAAAGCCACGGTGGAGAAAGAAGAGTCTCGTCAGCTGGTTTCACCTTGGTCATCAGACGGCCATCGGTCAGATCGAGAGAGGGAACTGGAGAGGCTCGTCTTGGTGTTGCTCARCCACACCTCACATACGGACCTCACATCACCCATCAGAGAGTGTCCACTCTGTGAAAAGGTACAAGGTGTCTTTGCTGTGGAGAAATACTGCATTGCTTGTTTTTTTAAATAAGAGAAAATGAGTAAAATGGAGAAGAAAACTGGGAAATGTATTGCTTTTAATCAGAGGGTTGGAAGATGATTAGTTTAATGATGTTGTATTTTAGCAGATTTATCTCCTTGCTGCACAYAGGTTAATAAAATAAGTTAGTTATTTCAAACTTTTTGAAGTGAAAAAATGAACGTCTAACCTTTCGCAAACAGCTCTTTTAACAACTTTCATTTGCAAAAAAAAAAAAAAAAAGTCTAGCAAGACTGATTACAAGCTAAAACTAAAACAGATTGTTGCAGCTCCAGTGTAAAAAAGTTTTATGCACATGCTTACAAATGAACTATTACACAATTTTCAGTGTCTCCATACAGGTTTTTTTTAATGCAAACTCTGTGGTTTTTTGAAAGCACAGTTACTGGGAGCAGCAGCAGCCTTGTTATTGAACATTCAGTGCAGCCGAAGAAGTTTCTGTCAGGAATATTAAAGTAAAATATTCTATCAGAATAACTGCTTTTTAAAAACAGACGGTGGTGTAAAGGTTTATAAAACAGTGTTCACATGGATCTCTGTAAAGTTTTAAAGGCTGGAGTTGATTTCATGGAAAATGTTTGCTTTAGAAATCGATTGACTCTGACCAGCCGTTTTCAGCTCGTTGATACAGTAACATTACACCAGAAGTGATACAGCTAGCTGCAGCTGACACTATGTGCTCYAAATAACCACAGAATTCAGTGTAAACAATATGCAAAATTGACAGCTGCTAAAAAGTTTATAAAAGCTTTAATGTGAACGCTGTGACAGTGGAGAGACTGGAGTTGTGTGAGGCCAGCAGTAATTTGTTTTGGTCATAGCTGCTTTRAAACTAGTTGTTAATTTATTAATGTTAAATCTCATTTTCACCAAGGGCCACATGAGYGTCAGTTGTAATAAACTTTGGCGTTTCGTGTTTACTTTCAATTAAATATGAAACTTGCCACGACTGAACCCTGGTGACAAACAATAACTGAGCTCTACCTAGTATTTCCTGCATAGAAACAGTATTTTAACATGTCCTTTTATAAACACTGAAAAGTACTACACGTATGACTTACTGAATGTGAAATAAATAATACTGATACTGTATACTACTAAAAGTAAAATTAAAAGCATTTTGCTCGCTGTTGAGTTGTGGTGAGTAGCTTCTGAACTCCTACTTTCCGACAGGGAATTTCTATGCATAATCAACATGCATTATGGGATATGTAGTTTATGGTCAATGCTGGCTTTAAAGCAGCTTATTTTGAGATATTAATACAGGGCTGTTTAATGAAACTGCTCAGGGGCCACTGTTACTTAAAGCCAAAAGCTCGGGTGCTCGACAGCTATTATTGTCCTTCACATTGTTTGTTTATTTTGTTGCATTGTATYATAAAGTTAAAGTTTACCATAATTATAAAAACTATTATCCTGTTAATTTAAGTAAGAAAAAAACAAAACAAAAACAAATTACTTTTCCAGGGGAAATGGGGCGTAGGTGGGCTAGACAGATCATATGTCCCGCAGGCCTTGAGTTTGACACGTATGTTAAACCCAGTTTCTCCAAACTGACGTCTGCCAAAAAGCTACCTACAACAAATATAATGTTAACTGTTTATAATTTTTCTTCAAAGAAACCCAACTTCAAAATGTCTGAACTGTTCCTTTAAAAATATGAGCTACTTTTCATTCTTGGTTGCTTTCAGGGAAGGCTGGAGGCTAATGGCTTACTGCGTGTAGTCTAATTATCTTTGAATTTAAAAGAAAGAAATTATCTTTGACTCTACATTAGAAAATATTAACATTTTATTTAAATTTCATTTACATGTATAAAAAAATCTTAAAACCAAGTAAACTTTTATAACATTCTTCTGCCAGACTCCCAGTTTTGTTTAGTAATGACAAAACTTTGTTCTGTTTCTAATTATGAATCAAAACTAACTTAGATTTTAATCGTGCTGAAAATGAAAGGTGAAACAGAGGGTGAATTTGTGAACAACTCATTTGTTAGAAGTGGGTTTTTTTCATCTTTTTAAAAAAAGTTCAGTCTAAAACACACCAAAAAAATCAAACCTTGGTTGTAAAGTACAGTTTACACATCTATTGGTCAAACAGCTGTTTTTGTAAAAACCATTTGGTTTGAATTATTGTAAATAGTTAAAGCTAACAGAAAAAAATGAAGTAAACAAATTATTGAATTTCATTTTTGTCTTTCTGTGATTGATGTGAAAATAATGAAATAGCCACAAAGGTATGAGCTAATCAGATTAGCTGATTTAGATTACCATGATGTATTCAAGATTTTAATTTCAGAGTAATCCAACCCAGACGATGTTAAAGCTCCTAGCAGACTTAAACCAACATAAATAATTTTTTTCCCTCTCTGCACTTTCAGTCAGTTACAGAAGCCCTGATGTCAGGAGGTCATCCTCAGGATCAGATTTACAACCCCCTCTCTGCCCCTTTGATGAGGTCACTCTCAGCTGCAGACATGAACCTCGTGTCTTTTGGCTTCAGAGCAGTTGGTGGCTACAGCAGAGCAAAGGTACACAACTGAAAAAAAAGTTTGCTGTTTTGTTTGAGGCCAAGTCTGATTTAAAAGTCTAATCTGTCCAGGAGCGAAGCTTTGGTTGCAAGGTGTGTGGAAAAGTGTTCAAGCGCTCATCCACCCTGTCCACTCACCTCCTCATCCACTCGGACACACGGCCCTACCCCTGTCAGTACTGCGGCAAAAGGTTTCACCAGAAGTCTGACATGAAGAAACACACCTTCATTCACACAGGTGAGGGAGGACGCGGGCACAGGAGCACATTCAAAGATGGAAATGTCGGCCTAAATTCACCATTTCCCGCTTTACTCATCAGGTGAGAAGCCACACGTCTGCAAGGTGTGCGGTAAAGGATTCAGCCAAAGCTCCAACCTCATCACCCACAGCCGWAAGCACAGCAGCTACCGTCCGTTCAGCTGCGCCCGCTGTCAGCACAGCTTCCAGCRCAGGGTGGACCTACAGCACCACCAAGAGACGCAGTGTGGCTATAGAGATGTTTATGCTCAGAGCTGAGCCCAGGGAGACAGAAAGACATGTTGAGAACCAAGGAGAGGCATGTGTACATACATCACCTTTAAACATGTAMATGTGCTTTAGGTAATATTAAACAGGCTCTAAATGTTCATATGAATAAAGCTGTTTTYTTTGGWAACTTTGTTGTAYTGCCTTCACTTTATGWATAWTTTACATCACAAAACYCATTGGAATTATCTTGGGGATCTGTCAAACAACAGTTCTCTTTAGAAAATTCAATTCCAAGTCCTTAGTACTCTTCTACCATGAGATGACTCCAATTTATTATAGGTAGGTGGGTAGAACGTRTTTGTAGGGAAGCTGGTACAGTCTAGTAGGAGGAGGAGATGGGAAACTTTACATTTCCTTACAGRCTGGCTCTGAGACTAAATAAGTTTGAAGCCGAGTTTTTGAAAAGATCTAGAGATTTTCTTTATCTATCTGTATTCATGCAAAATGAGGGAAAATCCAATGTAAGGACTATCCAACATACAACTTGACATGTGTGGACTGCATTTCCTCTGTAAGGTTTGCAAAACATTCAATCGCCTCAATTTTATAAAAGGTAGGGTGTATTGTTTTGTTTTTTTTTATTTATTTTTTTAAGTGGGAAAGAACAGCAGCCAACWACTGAAATCTGTGGAACGTTTAGCTTTCATAAACTTTTTCACATTGGAGTTGAGTCCCTGTCCTGGATGATGACACAACTACAAAAATCTGCTTAAATCTGCAAAAATCTGCCAAAAGATCTGCTAGATTATAGTCTTTGCAGGGGCTTGGTGAGGTCTTACAGCAAGGCTATTCAACTGGCGGCCTGCGGGCCACATCCGGCCAGCGAGTGACCAAAGTTTGGACTGCCGATTAGTTCATTCGTCTCTTGAGCCCAAACCCCCGGTTTTCTACTTTAATTACTCTAAGTTACTTTAGTTAAACATAGACATGTTTGGTATCTATAGAAACTTCAGAATCTTGGCTAGAAGCTGGAAAAAACATTTCTATGCACACTAAAGACAGTTAAAATTACAAGCATTTAAAGATAAAACTATGAAAATGAAAATAAAATTGGTTTAAATTTTTGGCTAAAGATAAAACTATGAAATTGAAAATAAAATTGGTTTAAATTTTTGGTAAGTCAGAGATGTCAAAACAATATGTGTTAAATAGGAGGCATAACGTGTTCTTTTTGTTTTTGATATTGTTTAATTATCATTACTTTTATAGGATTTTGTATGTTGTATTCATGATTAAATACAGCAAAATAAACAAATTCAAAGGTAACAGATCTTTGTACTTGGTTTATTTACATAACTTAATTGCTGGATGTTAGGCCCCTGACCTGCAGTAATTGTGGCCCTTGGAGCAGTTTAGTTGAATAGCCCTGTCTTACAGTATTAGGAACACAAACTGCTCAACATTAGGAGTAATTGATCATGTAGCTGGAGGGTCACCACGATGCAACACTTTTATAGACAGGTGCACAACAGCTCAGTAGTTGTAGCCCATGGACTATTAGCACTGATGCCTCACAGCAAGAARGTCCTGGGTTAAATCCCCAGTTCTGACCTGGATCTTTGTGGAGTTTGYWTGTTCTCCTCTGGGTTTTCTCTGGATACTCCAGTTTTCTCCTACAGACCAAAAACATGATGTTAGATTTTGCAAGGGAGGCCTGCAAAAGAGATCTGTGATCTCAATGGGATTAACCTGGTTATATAAAGATTAATAAAGGAATGCTACAAAACTGTCAAAACAAATAGCAGTGGTGGCTTATCACTCTTTACAACAAATAGGAACGCCAATCTCTCACAATATTACTGCAACAACCAATGATTTGCTCTTCTGACACAAATCAAAAAGCACTTCTTCTCATTATGGTCAAGCCTGCTGGATGAGAAAGAAAAAAGGATGGATGCCATCTGAAAACATCTTCAGCTTGAYATCATGCTGCTGAGTGACGTTTCCTTCTTCACAGCAAAATTGAAACTGATGGCGGAGGCCCAGAAACCTTCCACATGAGCAGAATAACTCTGAAGATCATGATTTAATCATGGAAACAGTTTAGGGCAGACCATCAACGGTATATCATGTTAATCCTGTCAAGGTCCAAGAGAGTCATGCCAGGGTTGGGGCTGGAATTGTGGCGCGACCATGGGCATATATGGTAGTATTGTCATGGGAATGAGAAGTTGAGATACAGTATACAGGCAGTTGAGGCCACATGATTAAAAAAAAAGAATACAAAACCTTTTTGGTAAGGTCTCAAAACGTTACAGGTTATGATTGCTATCTAGAGATTTTCTCATATCTTGTAGGTCATGGAGCGCATTATTGGCTTGTCATGATGGGTAGAAAAATACAACTGATGTCATCTGCCCTACAGAGGCTAAAAGCACTTTATTACTGCATTAAGCAAACATAACATCCAGAATATTCAGTTTAGTAAAACATATTTCATAAACAGTTTCCTTTTTTTACATACAATGAGAGAGAAAAACAACATTACAATGCTTATCTTGGCACATTTGATGCACCATGTTTACTACACACACCAACACAAAGGCCATAGTGTCCTTTCTGTATGAGTCACTCAAACATGCTTATATCTCATTGAACCCAGATATGGTTCTCTTCATGTGACTGTTCTGATGGTTTGGCTCACAGTTTCACTTTCAAACATTTTTTTTTTTTTACAGATACTGATTAAGATCTTACTGTGTTCAAATGTTTACAGGCCGCTGGTGTCTCTGCTGCACRGGAAAACAGCGTTCAGGAGAAGTGCACACATACACACACACACATATACAAGCTGTTCAAGCCTGCGTCCCACTTCTCCCCTCAGATTTGCAGGAGGAAATCCTGAGAAAGAGATAAAAGAATCAAACTGTTTAGACTTATCAGACACATCAGAGCTGAAATCTCCAGGTGCTCACTGAATGTTGAGAAATTTTCTGGAACTGACGGCTTCTCTGAAAACCACTTCCGTTTATTTTGAACGCACAGCTTTGAATTTGGGTTCGCTCTTTTCCGCCCAGCTGCTACGCAGTTCTAATTTTTAATTTGAGCAAAAGCCAAGGCGGCAGATAAAACTTCCAACATTTGAGGAACTAATATTAGCATTTTGTTGGCACACTTTGTTTCCTAATTTGTAGAATTTCAAATGAACAAAACAAAAAACCCCACAAATTCAAAATATTTGGAAACTTTGAATATAAAATGTTGGGGCAGGGGGTGTTATGGATATTCCAGACACACAGTTCAATTCTTTACCACAATTAAGTAACTATGTTACCTTCAGTTGTTATGAAAATGCTGTAAAATCAAAGATAAATTGGACTTTACATCATAGTCTATCTAAACACCTTGAAATTGGTCTCTGTCTCAGAACCTCCAACTGTTTCTGACTCTCCCAATTCAGCACATCTTCACAACAATGCTTTGAGGGAGGGGTGTTCTGTGAGCTGCAGACTGAGTTTCAGGGAGGAGCTTTTTACAAAGAGGCGGTGCTTTGTACCAGTAAGTGTTTGGGCAGCTCCACATGGCTACCACAGGAGATTCAAGGTAGTGACGTGGGGACACTAGAGGCAGGGGAGGCAGATCATGGAAAGCTAAACGAAAAACAATATTAAACACATTAAATTATCGTATTTATACAATCCTTCATGCTATACACACATTTTCAATTTAATTTAAACAACTCAATCCTTTCAACCACGCTTTGTCTACACTTGCAATCCCTGCAAGTTTTGTAGTAAGAGCAGAGTATGTCTTTTYATGTCGCCAGTAAAATGTTTTTGACTTTCCACAATTTAGCTGATGTTTATCGTATAAATGTGAATTTGTGTAACGTGTTCTGTGAACTGAAACAGCTGAGAAAAGACACGGGTGGAGGCTGGTGTTTCTCAGGCTCAGGGTATGATAGGGGGTGCTTGCGAGCTCAGAGAATACTTTAAGCTGCAGAAGAAGTAACAAAAAGTTACAGTTAGCAGCAAGTAGGGATCTCTGCGGACGAGTGGGCGTGTCACAAGGAAAGGCGATTCTAAAGCGAAACACCTGACTTGACAGATTTTGTTAAAGGGACACACCTGATTGGACAAGAACAAAAGGGGCGTTACTGTACGKCACCACCTSATTRGACAAGAACAAAAGGGGCGTTACTGTACGGCACCACTTTTTCTGGAGAACCCTACTTGGGTCACATTTCTCCTGGTTAACCTTAGTGTTGGGGTCAGG